TGAGTGCGTGTGTGCACGGGAGAAGGAGCTGCGTGGGTGTGTGGGCATGGGGATGCCTGGTGCATGTATGTAAGCCCGTGTTGTTGCCAGCCTGTGTGTACCTGTGCAGGTGTGTGAGCATGAGCAGGGAGACAACCGTGTGCACCTCGAGCGCCGTGTGCTGGGATCCGTGCATGCCTGTCTGGCGATCCCACGCACAAAGAAGTCCACAGGGAAGGGGGAGCTGGTGGCTTGAGATCTTTCCTCGCTTTAGGACGACTGAGCTGTTGGTTATGGAGAAAACTGTGATTCAGACCCCTGCATGCTTGTTTCTATCCTGGGGTGTGAGGCTGGCTGGGCCGTTTGCAAGGAGCCTTGGATGGCTGGAAGCCTGCATGCCGTCCCGTTCCAAGGATGAGATTCGGCCGAGGGCCTGAGGATCTCTGGCATGCGTGCCCTCGCAGTAGAGCCTAGTTCCAGCATCATAGTGGCTGGGGGTGCCTCAGCCATGGCTGTGGTTGCCTCAGCAAGAAGGGGAATAACCCCAGCTTCCAGCTGGCAATTCCCAAGAGGAGCACGGGTGCGGTCTTCAATCTATTCTGTCCTCAGCAGGGGAGTGTTAAAACCCAAGCGGGATGCCCCTGTGGTTGGGTGAGTGTAGAGCTCTTCGTATGAGCTGGTGTCCGCTCCGAGTGACAGCATCACCCACGAGTGATCTGGGGAGAGATGGGCTGGGACAGGACGTGGGCAGGTTGGGGAGAGGAGGAGAAATACTTGGGGGAAGGGGAGGGTTAAAGAACCTGTTGTATCAGTGCATCTGACCAAGGGAGATCTGACGACAGGACTGAGTCGGGACTAGTGAATCTTGACGTGACGCTCATCCTGAGCTTTTGCACAGGGAGTGGGCTCACATGCTAGCAGAAGAATGCCTGGGGCTGGACTGAGATGCTCTTTATTTTCCGGAGTATTTTCTTCTTTCCCCTTTTTCCCTGTCTTATACTATCAATTTGAAAAGCTGCTGTGGAAGATACATTGCTTCTGCTTCCATCTCTCCTGTCTCCTCAGATGGGGAGTCTTGCCCTGCTGGTACCTTCTGCCTTTTGTCATTTTATTTGTATTCTCTTCCCCTTTACGTTCTTGCCTGTAAGCATCTGCAGTCTTTCCCAGTCAGAAGATGAAAGGAGAGGTTAGAGCTTTTGAGATGCTCGAGTCTAGAGAAGATGACGTTGGAAAGGGTCTAAATTGTGCAGTGAGGGAAACAAGTAAAGCTTCCTGCTAAAGGTGCCTAACATTTAGCGTGCAGTCTCCAGCAAGCTCCAAAGTTGTCTCCTGGATGAGGGACGGGAGAGGATGAGTAGTAGCACACGTTTGTGGCTTGAGAGGAAGCCCTCCAAGTTTTTATAGAGGTTTTTTCATTCTGGAGAGCACAGTCTGCACTGTGCCATTACCTGCACGCTAACCATGGAGAGGTTGGTCTTTTGGAAGATCGGATGACGTGCTCGGAAGGAGCTTCCTGCAAAACTGCTTTTCCTTAGTGGCGCGGGAGCGAGCCGGCGGATGTGCAGCTGAAGCCTGGGCTAATGATTCCAGATGTTTAGCTGAAACGCCTTCCTTCTGATGGAGCAGTTTAAGGAGCATAATAGAGTGTGTAACTGGGTTCATAATATTTCAGCAGCACTTTACTGAACTGCCGCGCAGTGATTGGTACGGTGCCTCTGGCTCCTGCCGCCCTAACTAGCCCAATTAGGCACCACTTCAGCATATGTGGGTATTTTTTAAATGTCTGTTCTTCCTGATTCTCAGCCCTCCCCAAGGCTCCTGGGACGCCGGTGGTGACGGAGACGACAGCAACAAGTATCACCATCACCTGGGACTCTGGAAATCCAGACCCCGTGTCCTACTATGTCATTGAATACAAGTCTAAAAGCCAGGATGGACCGTATCAGATCAAAGAGGACATCACCACTACGCGCTACAGTATCGGGGGGCTCAGCCCCAACTCTGAGTACGAGATCTGGGTCTCTGCGGTCAACAGCATCGGGCAGGGGCCTCCCAGCGAGTCAGTAGTCACTCGCACTGGGGAACAAGCTCCTGCCAGCGCCCCCCGTAACGTGCAGGGACGGATGCTGAGCAGCACCACCATGATCATCCAGTGGGAAGAACCGGTGGAGCCCAACGGGCAGATCCGTGGCTACCGCGTGTATTACACCATGGAGCCCGACCAGCCCGTCAGCAACTGGCAGAAGCACAACGTGGACGACAGCCTCCTGACCACGGTGGGCAGCCTTCTCGAGGACGAAACCTACACCGTGCGGGTCCTGGCCTTCACCTCCGTGGGCGACGGGCCTCTTTCCGACCCCATCCAGGTTAAGACGCAGCAAGGAGGTGAGCACCTCTGGCACTAACCTGGGACTCCCTGGGCTGCAGAAGGGAGAGGGGTTGGCTTAGAGCATTATCCAGCTGTGGCTGCCGTGTCACCAAAGTGGCTTTCTTCTTTATCGATTTAATTTGGTTAAAGCAGGAGTAACCTTCTGGGAGGAAGCTCAGTCCAGGTAGCTGGAGCCAGAGGTCCTGGTGCACGATTTCTGATCTGTTTTTTCTCGCAAAGGTTGTTGCTTGAATGGGTGGGACAAGCAATTACACAAAGATAACCCATTTCTATTGTGTCATGTTTCAGAGTGAGGTATCTTATTGCTTCCAGTTTCTAAAAGTCTTTAATAGACCTAAAAACACTGCCCAAGCAATGGTGAAACTTAAGTCTTCTTAAAGCACCCAGAAGCTGCCTTCTCAGAGTGAGGAATGAACCTTATTTAGCCTTTTTCTAAAAGCGGAGCAGAGCAAAGCCCTGATGGTCACAGCAGATGTGTTGAGCTGAAAACAAAAGGTGTTTTATCACAGGTTGTCACCCAGCATTGCTTTCGAGTGCTCTGCCTCTGCCCTGGGGTGCTGGTGAGGAAACGCAAACCCTGTGTCCTCAGTGGGCTGCTCCTGGACTTCCCAATTCCAGAATCGTTTAATACTGGGGATTAGTGGGAAGGGGCTGTGATCCAGTAGGACTTTGCAATCTCCAGCAGCTCTGGACATGCTGGAGTCCTGCAGAGAGATCGGACCCTCCACTGCTTTAAGGGAGGCATTTTGCTGCTGACAAGCTCCTTGCTCACAGGCTTTGAAGAAAACAGGGTAGGAATCTTCTAATTCAGCACTTTAATTCTCCTGTCTCTCATCTTGCCTCCTCTTCCCCTTCATGTGTGTCAGTTCCTGGGCAGCCGATGAACTTCCGAGCAGAAGCCAAGACGGAGACGAGCATCGTGTTGTCGTGGAGCCCTCCCCGCCAGGAGATCATAGTGAAGTATGAGCTCCTCTATAAGGAAGGAGAGCACGGCAGGGAGGTGAGTCCGGAGAGGAGCAGCGCAAAGGGTCAGGGACGTCCCCGAGGAGCATCCCAGCCCTCCCTTCCCCGAGGTGCCCGAGAGAGGGGAGCAGGGCAGATGTCTCTGGGCAGGGCTCGCCTCTGCTCCTTTTTGTTTGGTTTTATTTTTTTTTGTCTTCCCCCCTCGCCCATCTCAGGTGCAGAAGAACTTCGAGCCGACAACCTCCTTCACTCTGGACGGCCTGAAGCCCAACACTGAGTATGTCTTCCGCCTGGCCGCCCGCTCGGCTCTGGGCCTGGGCGCCTTCACCACGGAGGTCAGGGAGCGCACCTTGCAGTCTAGTAGGTGTCTCTCCTTTTCCCACCCTTCT